TGGGGTGGAAGGGAGTTTGTCTCTCTCAACAATTTTTGTGGCCTTGCCACTTGGCTGTGGTGTGGTGGAAGGCTGGCCATGAGCCGAAATAAAGACAAAAAACTGACCATCTCAGTGGCTGTAGATCGAAGTGGGGCTGGGCTGACTTGCTGCGCCTTTGCCCCTGCAAGATATGCTGAAGACTCCTCCAGCAGGACCCCCCTCCTTTCCCCACCTTTCTCTTTCAGGACTCGGTTTCCAGCATCATGGAGAGCAGCAAGAAGATGGGGGGAGGGTGTAATCTCTGACCCTTGGAAAGGACAGACTTCGCTGGGGTGGGAGGCAGGTCTGTAGCTGTCTGTTTGCCTGCCAGGGGGTTGACTGCTGCGCACATGCGCACCCCTCAGGTCGTGCTCCTGGGAAGGCGGCTGCCCTGTGGGCCTGCAGTACCTCAGCTCCTCCTCCCTCTTGGGAAGGCGGGCTGCTCCTCTTGGCCAGCTGGCCGCCTTTGCCCTGGACTTTGGTGGGGAAAACATCACCTGGGGGGGAGGCGGGCAGAGCAGAGGCCCTCAGCAGTTGCGTGCTGGCATGTGGCCTCTCCCGTGCCCCTGCGGCTTGAGCGTGTCTCTTCTGGTCTTCCCCCACCCAGTCAGCAACCCAGCCGTCCCTGAGCTTCTGGCAGGGACCTGGGGACGGCAGGCCCTCTGGCATCATCCGGGGAGGGGGCTGCCCTCCTGAGCCCCACCAAGGGAACCGAGTGGGGCCTCGGTCTTCTGCATGGCCAAATCTGCTGTTTGGGTCTCCAGCACTTGGAGCCCTTGGGGGTCTGCCTTGGTCAGGGGCCACCAACAGCGAGCAGCCATCTTGGAAGCACTGCTAGAGACCTTGAGGGAGAGACGAGGTGTTTGTTTGACTAATGGCAGGTGCTGCTTGGGTTCATTTATGTGCACCACGCATTTGCCCACTGTGGCCTCTCACGATGGTCAGCACAGGTGAGCCCCAGTTTGGCACAGTCCTTTCAGCCATCCTGAGGCACCTTTGCTATTTCCATTTCTGTTGGGAAAGGTGCTGGTCAGGCGAGTTGCTGCTCTCGCAAAACAGGAATTTGGTGTACAGTTTGGGTGTTGTGTAAAAAATGGATCCATACAGTTGATGTCCATGTGGCATTTACCCAAGTTTGGTAACCTTGGAAAAGTCAGTTCCACAACTGTAAACACAGAACAATTCAATCCAGTTCCTCTTCAATGTCCATTTCAGCCTGAAATCAATGAGAAAATCATCTGATCCCTGTTTTCATCCTGGAAATTGCTGATTGTAGCTTGGCTTAAGGAATCAGAAAGCCTTGGGAAACATCCCTGTGGGAAGTTTTAACCAATCTGCACACCCTGCGACTCCCAAGATCAGCAATGCAAAGCGAGAGTCTATTGCAGAGCATTTCACCCACCTCTGGGGGTCCTGGGGAGGTTGGAAGTGATGGCTTGTTGCCATGTGCGGAAGCTGCCTGAACTTTGACTGCGTGGTCCTGGCAAGCCAGAACTCTGGCTGGTGCTACTTTGCAGGCCTTGGTTTCTGCTGGGGGGGGGCTTGAGCTGATCATCAACTGGGGCAATTCCTGGGTGGTTTCCAGCCCCAGCCGCCTCCTTTGGCTCAGAAGGCTGCAAGGGCAGAAGGGCTCCGGGATACACCTGCCTTCCAGACTGCTTGTGCGCAGCTGAGCTGGGATGTCCCCAGCTCTTCCGTCCCCAGGAGAAGCAGGCAGGGGAAGACTTCCCACTGTGCTTGATGGGGCTTGACACTGAGAGGGAAAGGTAGCATCCCTTGCAGTGAACCCTGTTTTCCAGGCCCCACTGCTAGGAGGAGTCCAAGGGCTGCCGTTGCATGTAGTCTGGAAGTGCCTGACTCCCCCCATCCCCACTGCTGATCGCTAATTAGTTTGGCAGCAAAGTCAGGCCAGGAACAAGCTGGATCAATGGGGACTGCATTTTGGGCAAGGCAGGGATCGATGCAGCAATGAGCGCTCTGGCCCTCTTCCAACTGGCAGAAGTGGAGCCTTTTCTCTGCTGAGCCTGGGCTGCCCCTTCATTTGCTCAGCCTCGATGATGTCCAAGCCCCTGCTAAGGTCAGCCTCTCCCCCAGCAATGCGGCATTGGCCCTTTCCTGAGTAGGTCTGTGTGGTCAGAGGGGCAGAATCTGCACCCTGTCCCCTGCCTGCCCCTAAATGTAATCCCCCCCAAATGGTGCACACTTTGGCGCTGTCTGCACTGCACCTGTGTGCTCTTCTGCATCCGAGGCGTTGGCCATTTAGTGGAGAAGGTAGGCAAGAAGAGGGGGTTGCTGGGCCCAAGAGAAGCAAGACCAGGGGACGGTAAAAATCCCTGCCAAGAGAAGCTCAGATCACGTGGGTCCTTCCTTCATAGGTGCACTCTCCACCACTATACCAGTTGTGATGGGAACAAAAGGCTTTTGAACCTGGACAATTTGCTCTCATTTCAACATAAGAGTGCACTCTGCACACCAGGCCATTGAGTGGGTGGCTTAGCTTAATTTAGTGTGTTGTAGCACACAAAGTAACTGACTTGTAAACCATGGTTGGTGGCAATGCAGTGTGTGATTGCAATAAATCATAAGTTATTCAATAAATGAGAGTCAAATCATAGCTTGATATGCAAACCCAGTTTTCATCATGGCTTGCTCCTTAGAGGAGCTGTCAGGTGTGCAAATCCAGTGTGAGCCAGGACAGCACCAAGCTGATCCCTGTTTGCTGAGCATTTTAAGCAAGTGTCCATTAACCCCACATTACTGAAAGGCAGCCCTCGACTCTGCAGTGAAGCTCGTTAATGGCCCTAAAGTGCTTCAAAAGACATTATGGGGAAAGACCCCATAAAATCCTTTGTTGGGATTTTTGCCTCTGAATTTTTCACAGCCTTCACAAGAGCTCCCGTATTTGTTTTGGCCTGTTCAGTGGTTTTGTTCTCTCGCAACTTCAGAGTCAGGCTGCAAGTGTGACTGGAGAGATTTGTGCAACACATAATCTCTAAGTGCTAAAGTCTCACGATCCTTACAGTTAATCTTCCCTATAAATATCTGCTTTGAGCTCCAAACTTCTCCAAGATAGCTAAAATATGTGACTTTATTGGAGATGTTTAAGAGCCCTTGTGCTCTGCTGCCATCCCCCCGCCCCTCCCCCTATTCCTGGAGGCTCTTCCTTCCAGCGTGCTGGAGTGTTAATCCTCTCCATTCCCCACTAATCCCCATTGGGTAAGCCTCACTCTTGGATTTAGGATTTAAGAAACAGGCTGTTCCGTGGGCTGCCAACTCTCTGAACTCTTCCATCTATTATTATTTCTACAGCACAACTTTTGCAAGGGGTGTTTTCCAGAGGAAGGCTTTGTCCAGAGGCAGCAACACTTAAGTCTTGTCCAAAGAGGGCCCACAAGAGTAAATGCCTCCCAGGAACCTTTCTTTCCGCCCAACTCATCATGACTCTGAGCAGCATACGGTATAAATTTAAAACAATACAATACAAAACAAGAATCTGGAAAAATAACATAGGTTCAAACAAACCATCTCTACCCGGGGTCTATCTCCCACTTCAGCACTCTGGGGGAAGAGCCAGGTTTTCAGGGCGTACCCGGAAGCCTCCTGGTAACCATTACAACTTAAGCAGCAGAGATGTGACGTGGGCATGCCTGTAACTGACCGTGCAACCGCCTTCTGGACCAGCTGGAGCTTCCACATCGTCTTCAAGTGCCACCTCACGCAGAACACAATTGCAGTTGTCTAAATGCAAGGTGATCCAAGCAGGAGTGGCTGTCTTAAAGACCTCCTGCACCAACAATGGGCGCAATCGGTGCACTCATGAATTTGTGCAAAGCCCTTCCTGGCCACAGTTGCCACTTGCCCCTCAAGAAGGACCTGTGAGTCAATGAAGACCCCAAATGGTGCATCAGTCCCAAAGGGGGAAGTGCGGCCCCATTCAGGACTCAAGATAGAGTTTTGGGGGGGTTAGATTTTTTATCCCACCTTTCTATTTTTATAAACAACTCAAGGCAGAGAACATTCCTAATCCTCCTCCCTCCTCCTATTTTCCCCACAACAACAACCCTGTGAGGTGAGTCAGGCTGAGAGAGGGACTGGCCCAAAGTCACCCAGCTGGCTTTCCTGCCTCAGGCATTCAGAACTAAAGATGGATTTGGTCCAGATACCCACAGCTATTCATCATCTCAGGGTCGAGCTTGAGTTTACTTCTTGCCTCCCCCCGCCGCCCCGTCCCGCTTTGGACCAGCCCAGCCTCCTGACACTGGGACAAGACACGGACAGCATCATCTGGCCAACCTGGGTCAAGATGCGCAGTTGGGCATCATCAGCATCCTGATGATACCTGACCCCAAACCAACTGGTCATCTTGCTCAGCAGCCTTGTGTTAAACAGGAGGGGTGAGAGCCCTGAGCCCTGAGGCAACCCGCAGGTCAGGAGGCTTTGGCTCGCTCTCCCCTTGCCAGTCACAGAGGAGGAGGAGACCCCCACAGCCCGATTCCTAAACCCTACCGGAGGTATGCGGGGTCAGTGGTATCAAAAGCTGCCAAGAGATCATGGGGAATCAGGACGGTTGCACCGCCGCAGTCCTGGCGCCACCAAGAGTCATCAGCCAGCGCAATCAATGCCATCTCATCAATCTCTCATTCTGAAACGGGACTGAAAGGGGCTTAGACAGTCCACGCCTTCCGGGGCCCTCTGAAGCTTCCCCAAGAAGGGAGGGGTGGAGACGGGGTGAAAATTGCCCAAGAATGAATGGGCTTCTTTTGTCAC